CCGCACCGCACCGCACCGCACCGCACCGCACCGCACCGCACCGCATTGCACCGCACCTCACCGCACCGCACCGCACCACATCGCACCGATGCGCCGACGATATCATGTGTTTTATGCTGCCCAATTATTTTCTCGTTCCACCGTTGCGCTCGATCCAGCCGTTCTGGTGATTGTATGCAGGACGACGAGCGAAACGCAGAAAAGATCGTAACAAGTGCGTTGACATTTCTGCAGTGTCGCCTGCGAATTACTCGTCAATTGAGGACTTTTTTTTATAGACTCTTGAGAAGGCATTCGCATTCAGTTGATGCAATTACTAATTACACGTACTAAGCGAAGACGTTGATTATAGGTTCAAAATGGTCGATTATCCAATCTGAACGAGCAAAATATTCCTTATTTACGCTCGTTAGCATATTTAACAGATATATCCGTAAAAAAGGAGAGAAAGGAGGATGATGTTCAATTATTTCAGATTCTTTTATCATTAGTAATATTTAAAAAATTAATAAAAGCGTAGTTTTCAATGCCAATACTTTGATATTTTGTTTCATTTTTAGTACTTCTGCTAATTGGGTATCTTTTATTGATTATTTAAAAATCGTTGAGCACAATAATTACCACTGTAAATACACGAGAGAGAGAGAGAGAGAGAGAGAGAGACGTCCATTCGAATAATGTCATTGAACGTAATCACACGACTCACGAGAATTCGTATTTTACTGAAATTCTCGATGCGCTCAGTCACATCTCGTCATATCACGTAGCATACAAATGCGGGAGAACAGGTGGGTCGTGGACGATTCAGACGAGAGAAGGGACGGAAGGAAAGGACTACGGCAAAGGTTGCGGTAAAGCGGCAAGTAGAAAAGCGGGGAGGGGGCGTGGGGAGTTAAATTGGGGTAAGGTGAGAAGACCAAGACCGAGTAGATGGGGTATGCCGCAACGGTTCGTATCTCGGTCTTACGTATGAATAAGGCGTCGACTATGGACTCTGCCATGAGTTCCTCCATTGTGCTGAAATACAGCTAGCGCCGTGGGATCCTTCCTATACCTATAATGTTTTAATGATCGCTGATTTTGCCCAGTTAGAAAGGAACTTCATTTTTTATATCGCGTATTACGCATCACTCATCGTGCTCCGAATCTGAATCAAACATAATTAAATATGAACACTGAGAAAAAATAAAAATCGATTTTTGTAATGAATTTAATATAATATATATTATATTTGGTTTATAATTGTAATGAAATAAAAACGATAACGAAACTTAGAGATCCAGCTAGAAAGAAAATTATGATATTGTAGCATTAATTAGGAAAAGTTATTAGTCTAGCCAATGTTATACTATAGTCGTTTCTGATTCGTATTTGAAAGAAGATTAATGTATCTCATACTTTCCTCATTCTAATATATAATTTATGTTTTTTTTTTTTAAATAATATAGACGTATGTCACAGAATCAATTCTTTTTATAACTTCCCACTACTATACTTTTTTCTTATTCAAGAAATGCCGATCAATTTTATAAACCGAAGTTTTATTCGTGATTCAATTGCATTTGTTTGAATTTGCTTTCTTCATATATTCTTTTATTATTACAAATTTCATTCAAGCGTTATGTTAATTTCTTAATTTTTGCAGGTTGCAACATATTGGTCAGTATTTTATAAATGTTATGCCTTCTCCAGTAAACATTACATTTATAAAAAACTTGACTAATATATTGATGCAACATTCGATATATTTGTACATACTGTTAAAAATAAAAAAAGTACGTTCAAATAAAAATAATGTTAATTTTAACATTTTTGCATATCTCAAAAAGTCCGCTATATGTCTTTAAGTTAAAATACATTTTATTTTTAACAGTGTATTGACAAATGTCACAGAAATAATGTAGATATATATTTAAAAACCAATTTCATTAACTTCATGAAGAAGTCTAAACGAAAGAATTGAGATATTTTTGTGCAAATAATAATTAAAGAAAAATATAAAAATACTCATAAATTTTAAAAGTGAATTATATGTATAAATGTCATGGATATTTATTTATTTGTAGGTCTATTATTTTTTGTTGATCTACGCAGCATGTCATCGTTTTAAAACTGTAACCGTATAACCGCAATTCCACTTGAGAGCCATTAAAATAAAAGTGTGCGTTCTCTTTTCTGTTTCGAGTAGGTTTATTGTCCTCTCCGACTCATAATTTTTGCGTAAAGATCTTAGGGGCTATAATGTGCGGTGAGACCCGAGAAAAGGGTGGCCGGTTGTCTGTCATGGACGTGGACAAGCGCCGGCGCCGGGTCTGACACCTGCAGTGAGCATTTTTCCTTCTAGGATTAGTAGGTACCTGCCTCACGCCTTTTTTTTTACAAACATGGAACACTTATACGTGTGTATTTTCTCGTACACATCCTATACCTGTTCAACGTTGATTGCTCCACTATGCTCCGTACAATAAGATTACAACAAACGATTGATAATTATGCTAAGAAATACTAAATATTTCTGATACTGTCATAACTATATAAATTCCGAATAACTTTATGAGTGTGTAAATTATTTCTTTATCCATAAATATATAAAGTAATATATTATTCGTTTTAATACATTCTAGAAATACAATTTCCGCTAAATGTTTAAAGGAATATGCATAATATTATAATAAAAAGCCGTTTTTAAAAAATGATTTCGTTAAATGAAAATTAAGAAGCGTTTATATTGGATTATTGTTATTTTATCTGCAATAGATAATCTAAAATATTAACTTTGGTCAAATACAAATATTCAAATATATTAAAGAAACGTGTATTTTGTTAGCATAATATGCTCTGACGCACGTATGGATGATTTTGTATCCCGCGAACAATTCTGTATCTGTATCTGCTTTCGCTTCTATATGATAGATTTGCACCTAATACACTTGACCGAGCCGAATCCCGATGATCATGGCATTAAAAGACCGCAGAAAATCCGTCGCAGCAGGTGGCGATATCTCTCTCTCTCTCTTTCTCTTTTTCTCTCTGTGCGCGGGGGCATTAAAGCCATTCATAGTGGAAGGGGAATCAGCAAATTGACGCCGTTTAGATTGCGCTGCATTCAATTAGGTTGCGGAGGCGCAGCCGGATAAAAACGCGCGTATACTCGCGGACGTCCTTTTATCATCCGGCACGTTCATTTAGATTTGTTCATTCTCCAACGTGCCACCCGCTGGTGGACTGCTTCCAAAGAAGCGCAGCGCGAGGTTTCCGTCTCTTAATTTCGATGGAAATGAAGCGATTCCGCCG